TGTCGTAGGTTTAAAAAAGGTAAAAATATTAATTCTTAAATTTTTTCGTTCACCTAGTCGATTACATTGCATACATTAAAGTTATATATTACTTATAAACCAATCTATTATACTTCAGATCCTGTTTTACCGACAAATTCTCAATATAATTCATGAGAAAATACGCCTTTGTTTTCTAACCTATATGAAATCACATGGCTAAATAATATATACATATGTTTTATACTGTCATGGCGTCCAATATATTCGCACTCTTATTGGCTACTTGCCAAATTGTATATTTTTTACTTTTCCCGCTAATTTTAAACGTGGATTATAAAAGCGCAATCTTTTTTTAATAAGACAAAAGTGTGAAATACTTAGTTTTAAATAGTTCTTTCATGCTTTCTTTGATTTTATTTGACAGCTCTTAGACGTGACGAATTTTCGTGATAAACGACTTACGAAAGATCAGTTGAACGAATTAGAATCACTTTGTCAATGCAGATTGTCCAGGTAAAATGTGATGACTGTACGAAAAATAAAGAAATTTCTTATATGTTGTTTACATCACATTAAATCACGTAATTTCATGAAAATGAAGTCCCACAGGATGCCAGTTCAATATATTATCGGTGAATGGGATTTTCGAGATATTACCTTGAAATTAGTTCCACCAATTTTTATTCCACGTCCAGAAACAGAGATAATAGTTGATATTATTTTAAAAAGACTGAGTTATTTGCACGATGACAATCATGAAATCTTGGAAATCGGTTGTGGTTCTGGCGCGATATCGCTAGCTTTGGCACATTCCTTCAACAAGGTACATTATTTCCTATTAATTAATTACTTAAATGGTAATTAAACAATTAAAAGAATAATGTTATTATTATTGCAGGTGATTAAAATAAATGGGATATCTTTAATCATTTAAAATAGTTCGGAGTAAATTTCATACTATTCTAGGTAAAATGTATAGCAGTCGATACTAATCCACATGCTTGCGATTTAACGAAAGAAAATTGTAGTAAACTAGGGTTGCAAGAAAGAGTAACTGTCATACAAGCAACATTGGAAGAAGATGGTACATTAAAATCTTCTGAAAATATAAATTTTGAAGCTAAAAGTTTCGATTTTATAGTTAGCAATCCGCCATACGTACCAACAAAGGATATATTAAAATTGGAGCCAGAAATTAAAATGTATGTAATTTTATAATTTAGATTATCAAGGTTTAAGAATAGATACATACTTTTTTTTGTTTACTTTTGTTATCTTCTTTCGAATATACGCAGTTATGAAGATTTAAGAGCTTTAGACGGTGGAGAAGACGGATTGAAAATCATCAGACCTCTTATACAATACAGCGCCAAGGCATTGAAACCCGGAGGTCATCTCATTGTCGAAGTGGATCCAGCACATCCCGAGTACATAAGTTTTTTCGTAAAAAAATACGATACTTTAAAACTGCGTTACGAACATACCTATAAAGACTTTTGCAATAACGATCGATTCGTCGAAGTATCTAAAATGGCGTAAAGTATTTTATCGCCATATTTGTTTAAACAAGTATGATACTTTATAGTAATATATTGACTCGTAATTTTCGACCAAAAAAGAAAAAAAAAATGATAGAAGTATAAAAACGTATTATAGAATATATTCTTAAATATGATTCTTAATAATGTCGAAAGTTGTTAGGTATCGCGTTAAAATAAAATCGATCAAGTTTTATTTATTCTCATTAATCAAATTTATGTATATTTTAATTGTCGAACGTATTCCATCACGACAGTGCTTTCGTCGCTGTCGGTCGTCAATTGATAATTACTTACAATAATGTGCCTACAAGATCGAGTCATGGTATTTACAATGATACATGTTCAAGACTGATCAAAACAAAATCAGATTTATATAAATTAATGAAAGCTAATGAATAATTTTGTATGTGTATGTACGTTTTCTTTTCTTTTCTTTTTTTTTTTTTTCAATACTGACACAAATACGTATATACGCTACGATTTGAAATTATTATCAATATCGATAAATTTAGAAATTAGCTAGCAATCTCACGAAGTAAAAACGGTGTCCCGTAAAATTCAACTGTTTTGTTAATAATTAATTATCGCGGAGAGAACTTTTCCAGTTCTTTCTTAATACTGCTGATTAAAGGTACCGCTGGATCCTCCGGTGAGAGTTGGGAATCTGCTAGGATACGTCTGGTATCCACTTCTGGTAGATTAGGTTTGTGAAACGGACCGGCACTGAGTGGTCTGGAACCCCAAGTACCACGTGTATGACTCGACTGGCCAGTTTCAGGAATGTCCTCTGCCAGATTTATTCTTGACGATACGGATGTGCGAGGTCGAGTATTCAATTCTGCTGGCGACGTTGACGTCGGACTAAAAACAATAATAAAATTTTAAGAAGTAAAAAAAATAGTGTAAGATAGAAATGAAATTAAAAAATTTTTTTCTTACGCATAAATATATAAATATGTAATGTGTGTGTTAAAGTATCTCATCGATCAGAAATAATAATTACTAACCTTCCTTCGTTAAATATCGTGAGAGCATCCGTCGTGCGTACGGCAGAGCTCGGACGCGTATTCGTCGCTTGAAATTCTCTGGACTTGGGGTCTCTGCTTCCGAAGAGGCTGAAGGAGTCCTCGAGGAGTTCGTGGAGGCGTCTCCTTGCACGACCCACGGGACCACCTGATCCCACGAAGATTTGTTCGACGTCCGATATTTCGGACGTACCATTACCTGATAATAATGTAATACTTTTCGAGAGAATGTGCGACCATATGATAACTTCTTTATATTTCAATAACGAAACCGTCACCGAGAGAATCGAAATAACATTATTCTCGATATAATGTTATTTTATTAATTAATTTCAACGAACGACGTTCTTTCGGAAACGGTTGATTCGCTTTCATTTTTAATTTATAGAACGATGAAAAAATTAATTATGAAGTTTTTGAAAAAAGTGTATCGTACCTTCGGTAGATAATCCTTGTCTCTTCAGTGTCCAAACGATAGGCCCAACGACTCCAGGATCTCTAGAGGCACTGGCTGCTCTCGTTAAAAATGTTTCACCCATTTTCTCGGTTCTGTGATGAACGACGTAACCATTGTCTTTGCGTCTTCCACTTTCAGGAGAGTCTACGTCCAAATGCTTGACCTAATCAGACAAAATATTCTTCCAATATCTCTACTACTAAGCTACGGTAGGTCACACGAATGCATTGCTTACTGTTACTGGTTCGAGTACTCTCGAAAGTGGTTCGACGCTTCGCATACTTGGAAATTGCTTGCAAGAAGGCATGGACAGATAAGAACGTGGTGAGACTGGAATCTCTTCTTGCCTCGGATAACCATTCTCAAGAGATTCCAATATCTCTGTATGATCAGCAATAGTATCCATTGAATCTGGAGTTCTAGGTGGATCGATGGCATTTGTTCTTGTCATTCTACTCTGTGTCGTTCTATATTTCATAAAGATTTAATTACTTATTCGCAGAATCACAAATAATATTATTTATATATAATATTATTATTTTATATATAAATTCTCTTACTTTTTATCATTTTTCTTTTTTTTTTTTTTTTTTTTTTTTTTTCTATTTATTTATTATATTTTTCCTACTCAAAAACAATTTATATTTATTAATATTAATAATGAACAAAAGGTATGGAAAAAAAAAGAATTATTAATTTTAATAATTTCGCATAATCATTGATGGAAACAACGAAATAAATTTTATTTTTATTCAACGATATTGTTTTATTCCAAATAATATAAATAGTTTCAGATCTGCGTATTTAACTTGACGCAGGATTAAATTTTTTTACAGGATTAAAATAGTGTTTAACAAGTGATTACCTTGTTTTTCTTGAAGATTGTTCCTCGATGCTCCATGGACTAACTGCAGCAGGTTTTTTAGATTCTTCCTCGTTGTCCGTGGAGAACTCGTCGATACTACGATGAAGACTGTCAGTGGTATCAGGAGTTCTCGAAAGGGTTCTTGGTGTTTGCCTTTGACTAGTACCTTCGATCTGCCAAAGAAAGAAACTTTTTAGGGTATGTATCAGCTACTAACACGCAATTTAAATGTTTATTTGGTTCCTAACAACGCTCATTAAAATCGATATCGTCATGCCAATGAAAAAGAGAAAATAAATTCATCTTCATAATATGCCCTTATCCTTTTACACGATTGCGTGTAAACCCTAACAATATTATTTTCTATCTTCTTCCTGACCCATCGAATTCTTTCGTTATCACGCAAAGGGAAACTTTATTACGACTAACTAAAAAAAAAAAAGAAAAAAATAAACTTCCATCATGAGATATAAATGGATAAACCTTATACCAATAATTTGCAATTCAAATGAATTATATACCATTCATATTATCAAGAAATCTGCATTCTAATGCAAATTTGTTATCGTCAATTGGAAAAGATTTGGCAAGAATTTTGTGATAACTTGCATGACGATTTGTTAACCCTATCGATGTCTAAAGTCAAGTTTTAATCTTCTTAGATGCATTATATGCATTTGTAAGCTCGTTTAATATGATAAAATAAATTTGCTTACATACCTTGCCTTCTGAGTCAGGCGTCAAGAAAGCTGTGTTGTCAAGGCCAGAAGTTGGTAGAACATAATCCCGTTCCTTCTTAAGTATACTTTTGTTCGGTGGTGGTACAACAGCACTATGAGCTCGTTTTCTCTTGGCTATTAGAACCAAACCAATAAAGAGTAGGACTAACAAGATTATAGCAGCTCCAGCAGCTCCTACCAGCAACCAAACGTCCCTTTTTCTCGAAAGGGCTAAGGGTCTTGTCTCTTTTAAATATGCTAAAAAATATTCAATAAGTAAATCATTTTCCAAATAAATCGTTACTTCGATTAACGTATTATATATTTATAATTGCTTGCATAGATTTGAAATGTATAATTTCAATGATGACATCTCATTTAATTTGATTATCTCAATTATTTTCGTTGTTTTCAGGAATATATTTCGAGATAAAATTTTTCGCTTCAAAGATAGAAATAAAATGATATAGAAGTCTTTTATCTTTTTTATTTTTTATTTTATTTTATTTTATTTTATTTTTTTTTTTTTTTTTTTTTTTTTTTTTAATAAAATGTCTTTGTTGCCATAATACAATAGATCTTAATAAAAAAAAAAATTCAGGAAATACTATTTTTTTGACTTTTAAATGATTATACAAAAAAAAAAAAAGAAGAAATATCTCGTTTCATTGAGAATACGGACATTAATATTTTGTGAACATCGATTTGATCATCAATTTTTTTCTTTGTTATTGTTGTTGTTTTTTTTTTTTATACTCACGTTCACTTCGAATAATAACAGGTACACCAAGTTCAAGAGCAACTTCTTGAGATGAAAGGAGAGCCATGTCTCTGGCTGCTGTTTCAGCTGGTACAGGTCTTCCACCAAGATGAACGGAATAGATCAGTCTAGTACCTTCGCCCTCTGTTATGCTTGTATTGTGCATCTTAATCTGTACGACACCATCCAAAGAACGTAATTTTGATCGGGCAGTCAAATTGATGCCTTCCTTATTGCCTTCTTCAGTTCGTCTCCAATCGACGGATGATCTTGAACTGAAGTTCAATGGATGCTGATCCTTAAAAATCATCGACGACGAATTTTTAAGGATTACGTCATCGTCTTCCTGTTTGTTCAAATTTCTTAATCGAAGCTTTTTCAAACCCAAATAGTTCAAAGTCGATGGTACTTTTTTCGAAGATCTTTCATTGCCTTCCTCATTTAAATCTTCATGAGTTTTATTGTTATTGAAGACATTATTCAAAATTTCACTGTCGTTGTTACGAAATTTCGAGGAAAATTTTCTTTCTCCTTTCGATACATCGATCATCCTCTCTTCCTTCAGTTCGATTGAACTTTCTGTCGGAATCGTTGGGTTTTCTTTCAATGATTTTCTTAGTATCGTACCAGTTGTCTGAAAAATGATATGATCTTATTATGAAAATTATATTAAAAAAAAAAAATCACTATCATGAAACTACGATACCATCGGATTTCACTTACCATTCGTTCGTGGAATTCACGTTGTTCGGTTGCTCTGCGAGCACGAGGATCGGTCGAGAGAAGACCAAGATGACGTTGTTGTTGCCTTGAAAATGCGGTCCGATAGAGACGAGCCAATTTTAACTCCACTTTCTGTGGTACGGATTCTCCGGCTCGTAAAACGGTCAATAACCAGTACCTTTTTTTCCATAAATATTATAATAAATTTCTTATGCGATTAGATTATATCAGATATATATATATTGGGAATAGTCAAAATTGGACATTCAAACTTTATTACATATTAGTATTATAATAAATAACTAATAAACGTCAAACCAGTTCTTATGTGGAACCAGTTTTTGTTAGTCAAAAGAAAAAAGAAAAAAAAAAAGAATGAAATTACGAAATGCCAAGGGTCCGTAATATTATTTTTTTTTTCTTTTTTTTTCCCTTCTTTTTTTTTTTTCTTTTTTAGATCTTTCGTCGCTAACGTTTCCTTATTACATGATACTGTTAGGAACATATGAAAATATATTACAGATAATTTTTCTTGTTTTTTTTTTCTTTTTTTTTTTCATTTATCTTTTATATAATAGTCATTAATAACCTGGGTCCAGGATCTTCACCAATTAGAATCCCAATGTCTTGGTCCTCGTCCTCATCTAAACGCGGAGTGGGATTAATGCAAGTCGTACATTCAGATCCTTGAGGAGTGGATCCATGTGGTGGTGCAGGTGCTGAAGCACTTTTACCATCGTGATCATTTGGAGAATAAATAGTGACAGTGTGATGAACCGTTCTGGTTTCGTAGAAGGTCAAACCTTGATTTGGATCGACCCATGGTGGTGCGTCATCTATACCAGTCCAAAAAAAGTCTTGTAGATGAACTCGACGACCAGGTAGATGTTCGATCAAAATTATCTCGTCTTCTGCAATTGGAAAACCAAACAAACGTTGACACACAAGAATTTTCTTTTTGTTTTGCATAAATTGATTACTCGTGCCATTCTGAACAAAATAAATAATTCATAACAATGGAGATAATAAATTATTACTAATCAATTATATCACAAAACTACTAAACAATGATAAAGAATCGTAAAAATAAATCGTAATCATCGAACTAAAAAAAAATATATATATATATAATGATCAAAAGTCATAATCGATGTTTTTATCATTATGATTGAATTTAAAATGTAATTAAAAATGATTACTAATGCGTAAAGATAAATCATAAAAATCGTAATTTTGTTCTTGTGGTAATATTACCAGAGAATGAGAATAAATTAATCGGATAAATTAATTAATTTAAAACAAAGAAAGTATACGATTATAAAAAATAAACAGTATTTAAAAAATTTATACTTTTATAAAGTTTTTTTAATGAAAATTGTGTACTTTAATATGTTGAATGATGTAAATGGTGGAAAAAAAAACTCTTTC